TTCCCCTTCCGACCTCTTTCCTCCCAAGCCTCTTTTGGCTAGAAGACCTCCAGCCTCCCACTAAAACGCGGAAGCTCAGCGCTGCCGCCCCCTCTCTTCGCCCTTTCTTCCCCTCCCCAACCCAAGTTTACACAATAATCCTCGCTACCAACCTTCCCCTCTCCGCTCGGCCCATTCATTCATTGATTGATTCATGATTGATGATTTTCGTTCCATGGGTGTGAGCTTACTTCTGATCTAAGGTTCCCTGCCCAGCTCTGTACCGTACATGCATGCATACATTCTATACACCGCGCATGCAAACAATATTACCTACCCTAGGACATTGAAACTCCAAGGCAAAACAAGAGAATAACCTAGATCAGAAGGGAAGAAAAAAAAAGAGAGAAAGACTGAGAACCAAAAGTTGGTACGCATAGCCCTACAATCACCTCCATTATTTTCTTTCTTTTCTTCCATTTTATTTTTATTTCTTTTTCCCCTTCCTTTTTCTTTCCTAACCAACCCTTCTCGTCCACTTTTTGTCCGCACTCCAACCGACCTGTCTCACAGCTGCTGCGACCTATTAGGCTTAGCCTCAAGAGGTCCAGTCCAGTCTTGTCCTGCGTTTGCTGTACTACCAGTACCAGTCTACACCCTCTCCATTATTACCTATTATTTCTACGTACCAAGACTGGGACTATCACTCCCCCAGCCTCCACTTTTCCGTACATGATCTCCCCGTCTGCCTGACCTCTTCTTTCTATGGGTCCTATGTCCATGTCCTATGCAAATGCAAATCAATCATTCTTTGCCTCCCACCGCCTTCGAGCCTCGTCTTCCACTTCCATTCTGGTTTGATCTTCCCAATCTGGACCCTCTGAGAGTTTGTTCTTCAATTTTCCCTCTTTTCCTCTTATATTTGCCGCCGGAAATATAGTGCCTTCTTCTCATTTTTTTTTTTGGTCTTTTTCCTTTTTCTTAATTTGATTTTATCCTGCACCAGTCTCCCTTCGCCGCGTCGTCACCGTACCATCCCTTCCGTTTGATGGCTCTTATACATACCTACAGGATCCCGCCTTGATCTTCTCATCTCAACCACTCTGCTTCCATGCTTCCATGCTTTATATTTTCTTTTCCTGCATGACCATGTTAATGACTTGAATGCTTTACTTACTCTACGTCTGCGATTATCTTTAGACTGCTCTGACTCCTCTGTCGATCCGTCGAGCGGTATCTGACCTACAACGAGCTATCACGAACTGCCCTCCTGATAGACACCGTATATCCGACTCGGCAAACAACATTGTGGGTTCATGAGAAGCAGTATTTCGACGTTCGATGCTGGAACTTCGCGTCGCCCCTCATATCCTTATATTTACGATTTGAACGAGACCCATGATTGCCTGCTACTGATCTGGTTGAGCGAGTTTTGTTGACCAATCTGCAATCCGTTTTTCGTGTCGCTTCCCCCGTGCTGTCTTGTTCGTGGCGATTCCCAAAAAAAATACCTACACACCTTTTGTCGAAGAAAAGTTTGTGGATGTAGATTTCTGTCAGTACTCACTGCATAGCGATTTCCTCTGTCCAGCGACGGTCTTGAAACATTTCACGCTTACGACGTTCGACGACCTTACACGATTGATCATTGCATTGCCTGCACCGCACGCATTTCTGAATTTCACGAAGTCTTCGTGAGAATCGACTTTTTCATTTGTTTCTTACGAAAACGACGGACTACTCAACGCGGACATCAAACCTGATATCCGTGACCTACAACCAAGCAACGGAAATATACACGCAGGAAGAAACATCTCATACGGTACGCCGGACGCTCATAGTTCGACGTTCCTAGTGCTCCTTCGCCACTACACTTTCAAACCGTTACCCATCAAACCGAAAAGCTGGAGCTACCGTCGATCTCCCAGGTCCACACAAGAGGTCCTGTTGATATCCCTTGGTACAACCACCACGCCGCGGAACGACCTTTGTTGTCTGGTGACAAACTTCCGGCGCTCAGTCTTCCCACGGCCTCGCAGCCGATCGTCTCGGGCCAGTCCTACAGGGCTAGCTACGAAGAGTCGGCTCCGGGTTCGACCAGCTCAAGCGCTCGGACAAGCCTATCGTCCGGCACCGCACCGACCATCAGTGAGGCCAGAACTCCGCCGTCTGTTGACCTTGTGGCTGGTGGACACGGCCGTCTCTCCCTGGAATCTTCCGCCTCGCAGGATTACACAGTTGCGCAGAATCAGGTGAGCGACAGCTATTACCCGAATCCGACCCCTCTGGGCAGCATGAACCAAACGCAACCTTACATGGATGTGCACTCGTCGCATCTGTCATCCGCGCAGCCGTACGCTTCTCAAGCGGCGACGGCAGGGGCGATGGCCCACTATCCGCAATATCACCAACAACCGCCTGTCCTGCAGCCAGCCTCGACCTACGGTCCTGCCAGCTCTTACTCGCAATATGCCTATCCTAGTGGTGTTGCCTCGTCCCAGGCCGCGCCACCCCCGCCATCAACATCGATGAGTAGCCAGGTTCCTGCTCAGTTGCTGCCTTTGCCTGGTAAGCTTCTGGGCCTTTTTAGTTGCTATGCTTTCGTGTACTAATTTCCTCTAGCAGTCAACAGCCACACCGTAACAGCGCCGGGTTATGGCAACACCACAGGAACGCCGATGCAAGGGTTCGTCTATGATACCACTGGACAGTTGGCGCCCCCGGGTGCCAAGCCGCGAGTCACTGCCACCTTGTGGGAGGATGAAGGGAGCCTCTGTTATCAGGTAGAAGCTAAGGGCGTTTGTGTTGCGCGCAGAGAGGGTAAGCACCTGAATCGTCACGGACGGACGGTCAAGATTATTAACAATGAATAGACAACCACATGATCAACGGTACCAAGCTGCTCAACGTGGCTGGTATGACTAGAGGTCGTCGGGACGGTATCCTCAAGAGCGAGAAGGTCCGCCATGTTGTGAAGATTGGCCCTATGCACCTGAAGGGAGTGTGGTATGTCTTAGTTATGGTATTGTGGTCAAGGGTAACGCTAACAAATGCAGGATCCCCTTTGAGCGGGCTTTGGAGTTTGCCAACAAGGAAAAAATCACTGATCTGCTCTACCCCTTGTTCGTGCACAATATCGGTGGTTTGCTTTACCATCCGACAAACCAGACTCGGACGAATATGGTCGTGCAGGAATCACAACAACGGCGGTTGGAGGGCCCACCATCCGCGCGAACCCCCCAAGCCTCTCAGCCGCCAGCTCTGCACCACCATCACTCCATGCAGCCCTCCATTCCCTCCCAAATGCCTCAGCCACCTACGATGTCCTCGCAGCCTGGTGGTCGTCCTCCGCTCGACCGAGCACATACGTTTCCCACTCCGCCCGCCAGCGCCTCGAGTCTCATGGGCCTTTCAAACCAGAGTAGCTCGTATGACTGGAATAACCAAGGCATGAACTCTGGCGTACCAAACACTCAGCCATTGTCAATTGATACCACTTTGAGCAACGCGCGGTCGATGCCCACGACTCCAGCGACGACGCCTCCCGGCAACAGTCTGCAAGGCATGCAATCCTACCAGAGCCAATCCGGGTACGACACTTCGAAAACGTACTACTCGACTGCTCCTTCTTCGCACCCACACTACGCTCCACAGCATTCCCTGTCACAGTATGGCCAGACGATGCCGCCTCATTCTTACATCAAGAATGAGATGGCACCACCGGCGGGACGGGGCCCGGGAGGACAGTCGGAGACTGAAACTTCTGATGTCAAACCTACGGACCGGTACTCACAGAGCAATGGACACGTTGCTCCTGGGGCGGGCGAGTCTGGCCCCGAGCACGAGTCGGACTATGTGCAGCACGACAATACGGGCTACGGCGCCCCTCGGAGTTCCTACACCTATACCACCAACACCTCGGTTGGTAGTCTCGCGGGCGAGCACTCGCAGTTGACAACCGACATTACCGGCTCCCCGCAGCAGAACGGGTCTGGACGTATGACCCCGCGCACAGGAGGTGGACCTCCTCCGCAATGGGCGTCGGGGTATGCGTCTCCCCGACCGACCGCCGCCAGTAGTTTGTATAACATTGTCAGCGACACCCGCGGGTCATCGAACGGAGCTGGCTCAGACAACTACACCGTGGCTTCTAACTCGGCTCCGACATACTCCATTGGTGGATCGTTGGGATCTGGCAAGCGGGGACGGGAAGAAGACGACATGGGCCGGCCGGACAGCCAGGGAGATTACGAAAGCAAGCGCCGACGGACCAATGAAACGACAGTTGGCGGACCAGTTGGCGGAGTGCTGCTGGGACTACAGCCGATGAAAGCCGGAGGTGCCATGCCTCGTCGTCGATGATATGCCATAGACCGAAGACAACTCGAGTAATAGCCGATTTGGCTTCCGACTTTGCATTCGTTTATCTGGTTGTTCAGGGTAAAGAAGGTTAGAAAGGGGACGGGTCCCTCATCCACCGGCGCGTGGGGTGAAAGCCTGTGCGGTCTTCAGTAGACCTTGCGTTTTTCTTTTTGTTTCCACCTTTTTGCGTGTTGCGAGGCTTCTTGCCTTTGTTGGGTCATTAATGGTTGCAGCGTGGGCCACCGACGGCCTCTGCATTGATTTCATACTCCGGATGATCAGCGTTATGGTGCCTTTGGGTCATATTGTGGAATGTGCGGTTGTTTTCTGAAAGGATATACTGCGTATTGACGACCATGATGACACGAATTTCCTTGGATGAGTCTTTTCTCTTTTCACTTATATGGTCCCCTCTCCATTCATCGCATGTAGGGATAGGACAAAATTGATGGGTTATCAGCATGCACTTTGCGTAGATATCCCTTGTACTACATAGTAGTTGGTATCCGCCGAAGCAGCAAGGCATAGCTATGGTGACTAACCCAAAGCAGAAAAACATCAACATCTGAACCAAGGTTCACTCACTGCCCCTCTGACGTTTTATCCTACCTCACTCCTACAACATTTACCCCTACGTACGTATACAAGTGAGAGAAAAAATGCCACCAACACCAACAAGCCACACAATCTTCGACCCGTGGAACTCCGCCTCAACAGGGCACCAGCGCGCTGAGAACCCTTACTCGAATACCACCAGCTGGCGCGAGACCCGGCAAGCAAAACTTGCGATTCAGTTTGCCTCGTCGTCGGGCGACTGTGCAGGCGACGGCACTCCCACTACCGAAACCAACAGTGGAAGTAAAGCGGAAGGAGGAGGAGAATGGAAATGGCTCTCCGCGACCGAGGCGCATCGCAACCAGCTCGGATGCAGGGATATCCGGACGATGATGGGGGGGAGCAAGAAGCGTCCTTCCGCCGCTTCTACTATCGATGAAGATGACGCAGGTAGATGTAAGAAAGCGAGGGTGGAGAGGGAGATCCTCTGCCAGACACCCGCATCCGAACCCGCATCCAAACCAGAGAATAAACCCCAGGGCGAAGACAAAGACGGAGTGAGGAAGATACTCACAGGAACAACCATCTACATCAACGGGTCCACAATGCCGCATATCTCCGACCATAGACTCAAGTCCCTCCTTGTGCTGCACGGCGCGGAGGTTGCCATATCCCTGTCCAGAAGGACCGTCACGCATGTTATCGTCGGCAGGCCGAATGGCGGGCCTGGTAGTCGAGCGGGAGCCGGGGGAGGACTCGCGGCGGGGAAGTTGCAGAGGGAGATTGAAAGGGGTGGGTGGAGGGGGGTTAAGGTTGTTGGTGTTGAGTGGTATATTCCCTTTTTCTCGTTCGGATACAGGTGTGGTGCTAATGACTGTGGGTAGGGCGCTGGAGAGTATCAAGGCGGGGAAGAGGCTTTCGGAGGGGCGGTTTGCGATGGATTTGGGGTCTGGTGGGCAGAGGAGTGTGATGGGGATGTTTCGACAGGTATGATTTTCTACATTTATGGGTTGCTTGGTTTTGGATGGTGGTGTTTGGTGTTGGTGTGGGCATATACCCCGGCGTTCTGGTTGATTTCGACGACGAAATGAGTCTACGATTGCTTCCAATAGGTAATACAATTGCATCAACCGCAGTGCTTATTCGGCTGTGGTGTATGAATGCGGCGTTTATACCATTTTCCTTTATTCAGTGGTAAGCTCTTTGGAAGTAACGGCATATGGACAAGTCTTTGCAGTGCGTCCAGTTGGCAGTGTCATGTCTATCATCAATCATGGTCATTATCATATCATACATATCATCCATATACAGACGTCACTAGATAAATGCCCCCCGGTTCGTCGAGGAAGGGCTGTCGCCGTGCCCCGATACAGGACGCCGCCAGCCTCGGCCGTCCGTCCCGCCAGGACTCGTGGGCGACCGCAGCTCAACTCGCATATGCGAGTCCTCGCCGGCGATGAAGGGCTCCTCATCTGGCAACGGTGGCAGCGGATTCGCTCGGGGTCGAGACGAGGATTGCACGGCCCCTGGATCCGCGGTCGCGGTCACGGACCGGGAGGACGGTAACTGCCAGCCGCTTTGCATCTCGGTCGGTGAAGTCTGAGCAGCGTAGCCATAGTCATAAGTGCCGTGACCGCCATAGACCATTGACGATCCATACGGCTCAGGGGCATCGGAGATCGAATCGCTCGACGACGAGTCGATCCGTTCCAGCTTCTCATGCATATCCCAGTCCTCTCCGGCGACGCGCGAATCCCCCTTCACCAGACCTAGCCGTTCCTCCTCGGTGGCTCCCTTGAGGGCTTGCCTCTCGGCACCAGGAACCAGGTGGCTGCGACGCAGAATGCTGCGAGGCGAATGAGGCGGCGGTTTGGGCGGTTCGCTCTCGCTCTTCGACCTGATTCGGTTGAAGACTGTGTTGAAAGAAAACTGCCGCTTAGCCGTGTGCGGAGAGGCTTCATGGTCCGGTGTCTCGTCCGCCCATGCGATGGACCGCGATGTGTCCGTCTGTCCGGAGACTTCGCGCATCCCCGCTCCGTGATAGCTCGTGTCCAAGTTCTTGCTCCCATGTACGGGAGAAACAGTCAGATGGACCGGATCCGTTTGACCGTCCTGGGGATTATAGACCTGGTGCCATTGCCCCGGATGCATGAGATTTGAGGCTCGCGATCGCAGATCATCCAGGAAAGAACGGTCGCTCTGGCGCGTACTCGGTCTGCGGGCGGGATCGTTGTCGTCTGGAGATTCTGACACACCCACCGGAGAATGAGGAGGATGCGACCCAGGCGTGCGGGGTCGCGCCATGGTCGGGCCCTGTCCCAGAACGGTCTTGCGTCGCCGCAGACCGTCCCATTCGATAATCTCATTCTCAGCCGGCGGCTTGAGGAAATCTTCCTGCCTGTCTCGGATATACCGCCGCGCTTCCTCCTCCTCCGTACGACGGCGTGCGGTCGATATCCGCCGGAGGATTGCTGCCGCACCACGAATCGAGTCTGCCTTGGGTTCCGTCTCGGGTTCTTCCTGCGCGGCCACCTCTCGAATCTGATCCAAATCGCCTTTGAAGATGGCCGCATCGGGCACATCTTTGGCGGACTTGGACAGCTGCAGCAGAACGACACCCGCGCAGATTTGCAAGAATCCAAGAATGACGGTGGCGATCTGCATGCCGGTGCCTTTGAAACCCTGGAACAAAACAGCGGAGGAGACGATGGTCGAACTCGTAAAGAAGACGTAGTAGGTGGGGGTGACTAGGGCGGCATTGAAGAGGTTCAACGCTTTCTGCGATGGTCAGGTTAGCATAGCACTTCAACCCATGCAGAAGACATACATTGAGGTAGATAATCTCCGTCAGTAAAGTGGCAATGACAAACACAAGCAACACGTAGAGAAACCACTCCTTGAACTGGGATTTCCCATTGATCTGCGCCAGAATGGCCGCCCCCAGACCCTGCGTGGCCACCACGCTCAACCCACCGATCAAACTGCAGATACTGATGTAGACGAACATGGTCTTCTTGCCGTACCGCGGCCCCAGCCAGAATGCGACGATAGCGCAGCCCACGATGACGACACCCGCATATGACAGGAACCCCGGCGCAATGACATAATGTTTCATATCCTGGATATCACCGACAGACGACTGCTCAGGGGCGTTGAGAGCAATCACCACCGACCCGATAATACACGAGAAACAGCCCACCTTGCCGACGAAACTGAGCCGCTCTTTCAGAAAAATCGCCGAGAGAATAGTGGTGATCACGACCGAGAGCGCCCCCAGCGGCGTGACCAAAATCGCATCCACAAACGCATACGCAACGAAATTGCAGATCTCCCCGACAATCATGAGGATCATCCCGGACCACCACCAGAAGTTCTTGAGGTATCCGTACCCTTCGCCCGCTTCTTCATTGTATTTGACGTTCGCCTTGAGGAGACCCGTCTTCTTCAGCACGAACGAGGTCCCGATGAAGACACCCGACGAGACGGCCAGCGCAATGCCGACGGCTTTGTATGCGGGAGGACGCTCGCTGGTGGAACTCGAACTGCCGGACCGGACGGCGAGGGTCGTGGCATGGGCCACGAGAGAGTGGGAAATTTCCATGGAATCGTTCAGGGCATAGCACTGCCAGCAGTGTATCGATAGATCCAAGAAACCGGTTGAGTGTATATCTATATGTCGAAAAGACGCCGTCGTAGCCGTAGTCGTAATCGTAATCGCAAGAGTCTGACGTTAAGCCATGAATCAATGCAAATTGCTGAATCTAACCACTGAAATTGAACCCGGTTGGATCTCGCACGAGACCAGCGAATCTGACAGTTATCAGGCGCTTCGAGGGTTGATGAACAGGCCCCGGGCGGCAAATTAATTAATCAGACTAGCAAAAGTGGAGGATCAGTGGTGGCTGAGGGCCGCGTGGTTTCAGGAATGTCGGGAGGGTGGATAAGGATAAGGTAAGGCCACGAGGAAGAGAAGCAAGGGAGGAGAATGATAATTATCAAAGAAAAGAGGTTAAGAAACCAGAAAGAACAGATAATAATGGAATTCCAGTGCACTGTCTTGTTGGAAATGAGCTGATGATGGGCGAGACTCGAACAGAAGAAAAGAAAAAGAGGCTGGGCCAGTCAGTTAGTTACTGCTAAGACTGAGGTACACTTGCATCTCGACCCACGGCGCTCTCCCACTTGTCTCGGAGAATTTGGTACAGCTGATGAGAATCGTCCAATTCCCAATCTAAGGATTAGATATGATCCATGGTTTGTCTCTGATATTTATGGACCATGGCTCTAGTGCGATAAAAATAGTTACCAGGGAATGGATAACCTACGGCACGGACTATACATCCACCTCAGCCATCATTACTAACAGCAATGCAATAAGATCAATCATTAACTACTTGTCTTCTCTTTGGGTATCCACCAGTAGTAAATACATCATAAACCATGGGCCAATGCGAATCCCCAAAATAAACAAAGAACAGTGTAAAACGCCTCAAGCCAAAGCCATCCTATACATGTAGTAATCAATCATCGCACATGATAACTGGGTTTCCGCTGCTTGTTCACCGCTGGAGGAGGCTCGTCAACGGGATATGGCGGGCGGACCTTCCCAGTTGACCCATTCCGACCATGATGCACCATCAAGGGCATCGGCATCAGTGCCTCGTTCGCATTATCAGGATACGGAATCGGGGTCTTTGGCGGCACTGGAGGTGGCAGGTTACTCTCCTGCACCTGCACCTGCTCCACGCTCAGCCGAGGCGACGCCATTTGTTGCTGCGAGCCGGGCCGACTCCCGTCGCTGTGAGTATAACTGAAGCTACCGCTGGAAACCCGACCTGACGAAGGATAAACGCCATCCTGCGGGGTCGGATGTGGTGGCAGCGTATCCTCAGCCGGAGGGGACGGAACTCGTAAGCCGCTCGACGGAGGCTGATGTGTCATGATGGGTGCAAAGTCGCCAGGTAGCTCTGCGGGCAACTCCACCGCCATGGGGTTGGAGGGTGGCGGAACGGAAAATACTGGTCCTTGCGAAGTGTAGCTCTGAGGCGAGAATGGCGCATCTTCCGTTGGCTCTGTGGAAGGATCATATCCAGCGGCCGCATGCGCAGCCAGTCGCCGGTGCATGCGCTCGATCTTTGCGAACTTGACCCCGGCGTCCATGATGCTTTTCTTGACTTCTGGCTTGGACAAGTAGCGTCGGGTATTGGTGCTGATGTCGGCCAGTCGGTTCCACTCGTTCATGCCAAACTCACCCACGCCGACCTCGACATTCATCCGGTAGTAGTTGTCCTTGTTCACTCCGCGCTTGGCCAGGTGGGTGCGAAGCATCTCCTGATGGATCTCCTCGCAACCCTCGATCTTAGCGATCAGTCGTCGTCGCGCCTCGGCAAATGTGCCAAGAGCATCGCCAAAGAAATCTTCCCACCACTCATGCTGCCGATTGTTCGTGCCTGGCGGACGCTTGCCGGTGCCCACGCTGATAAACACCCCGATTTCTCGCCCGGGCCACTCGTTGACAGCCGCTTCATCCAGGATCTGCGGCGCCGGATTATATGTACCCGCACCCTCATCGATAAAGAGATGCTGTCCGATTTGAATTGGCTTAAACGCCAGACCTGTCGCCGAGGTGGCACGGCCGGCTTGCCAGATAGTGCAGTTGAATTCGGGAGGAGGTTCTTTGCGCGAGTCGTACGATCGCAGCAGCACCGCGGATCCGTTGCGGGGGGTGCCTTTGTATAACGCCGTCACAGCACTAATCAGTTAGTACGATCTAGGTAGATTTCCCTGACGGGTGTAGACTTACGTTTTTGTCCGATTTTCCCGATTATCGTAGAGTAGAGCATCCGGGTTCCCCCATCGTAGCCCGTTGATGATAGCTGAATGTCGCTGACTGATCGGCGTCGAGGGATGCGAAGCGCCAGACGTGCTGAAACTGCCTCTACTCACGGAGCGCTGCGGAATCGCCGCGGGACTGTATGGCGCGCTGGCGACGGAGCTGCGCGAGCTGGCATTGGGCAGATCATTCCCCTCGGCCTCGAATACCGTATGTTCCCGGACACATTCCCGGATCGCCTCCTCTAGTTTGGACGCCTTGAACAAGGTCGAGCGGTAGGGGATGCCGGCGATGGTCTTGTCGGTCTCGAAGACGCGACGGGTCATGCGCACGTAGACTTCCTTGCAGGTTTCCAGGTCGAGTCGTAGCCGACCCAGCATGAGGGCTATGAGGCCGCCCGTGCCGGTGCCGGCGATGAGGTCGAAGTGGTCGCAGGGTTTGGGGATCTGGTCTCGGCGCGGGGGTTTGCCCTCAGTCTCGACGTAGATGCGGTACATGAGTTCCTGGAGAATGATGAGCATCGAGTATCCTCGAACGCCACCTCCATCTGCTTCGGTCAGTTTTGAACCACATTCAGATGATGGAGTGCTCCATACCTAACGACAGAACCCTCAACGGAGGGCCCTTGGTCGTGTCTTTGCGACGTAACGTCATAGTGTCCATGGCGCCGTTTGACGCCGACGCAAAGTCGTATCTCCTAGGAGACAATCACACCAATGTCGAATTTGTGATCCTTGGATGGTTATCGGCCGCAGGAATAAAAATAATAAAAATAGAATTTGAGGGTGGGGATGACAGGCGCAGGTGGGATATGGCGGGCGCCTGATCGGTCGAGTCGAGGACGAATGGAACGGCCAGGTGCCTGAGAATCCGCGGATGGAAGATTCGATGCAGATGTAGTAGGCAGCAATATTCCTAGTTTATACCATCAAACGATGAAACTGCTAGAAGACTGGTATAAGTGAAATGGATGAAGAGAAATATACGGAGTAATGATGATTCCCAATCTCAGCTGCTGAAGAAACATGGAGAAGCCCAACAGAGCCAGCTGACTGAGTCCCAGCCAGTCAGAGTGTTGCTTGGTCAGTAAATCTCTTAATTTGGTCCTATTCTCTCTTCTAATTGATTTAGCCATATCTTTCTAGTGTGCCATGTATTATTATTCGCATTTGTGTGCGAATGGAAATCACATAATCTGATCTGCTGTGGCTGTGCTCTGCGTCATTGAGGCTGTGCTCTACGTAATATGTCATAATCATATCATGGGAAGCTAAATTGGGCACAGATAGAGGTGGAGCATGTAGCTCTTTGACAGAACTATAGGGCAAATAAATCCCAGTTTGTCAAATATTGAACTGTTTTACCTCAACAACTGCCCTTGTACCAATGGGACTGGGACCGTAACTAAGGTAGAGAGGTACCCCGCAGGAGTATGCCCATAAACAATCTTGAAGCACGGATACAACCACCTTCTAATGCTGGATGGCAAACTACAAACTCGCCTTCCCCAACATCACATCCCTCACCAACTTCAACGCCTCCTCCGCAAACACAACCATGTTCCGCTCCCGATCAGTCCCGCACCCCGTTTCCACCTCGCGAGTAAACGTCCCCTGCGGGGTTGACACCGCCAACGCGACGTATCCTCTGCCCGGTATCCGTACACATTAGCATGTGCGATTTCACTTAAACGTCAAGTGATATTTGCAAGACAAAGAGAAAGAAGAACGTACGGCGTCCGATTCCGCGTCGCACCACCTGTAGGCCCCGCCGTCCCGCTCTCGGCAACGGTATACGTCGATTGCAGGGTATTGCGGACGTGCTGTGCGAGCCCAGCGACGATATCAGGCGTGGGGCCTTCGTAGTTGTCGATATGGGACTGGGTCCAGCCTGCGAAGGCGATGCGGGATTGCAGGGTGTAGAGCTGGGTTGTTAGTGATCCTAGAAAGGAGAGAAGAGAAGGTGAGTGGGAAAGTGCCGTACAGTTAATCCACCCTTGTAGATGGAAGATGCTCCCGGGCGGGAAAGTAGACAGGCGGAGATGATGCCTCCGGCTGCCTATATCAGTACCAGTATCAGTATCCGATGATATGTGTCGGATGCATTGTGTTGTCTTGTACTTGAGACATTGTGAAAGGGAGGACAGCATACTGTTTCGGCGACGGAGATGGTTTCCCCCCGGGATTTGAGGAGATCGGCCACCTCTTTGATCAGAGGGCGGAGGGAGGCAGGTGGGAATTCGTGTGTCATTTTGCTGAAAGAGAATGGGATTGTGGGCGAGTCGGGATGAAAGACAGAGGCTTTGTTGATGGTTGATTGTTCTACAGAAGGTCTCGCATGATGAGGCTGATGAGTGATGACGACGAGGTGCATTGGTCTTGGCGTCATTGGATGGTATCAACTCATGCACATATACAATGCATGACAAGGTGTTAAAGCTGTTCAGTATCATTCTATCATCTCTCTAGAATCTCACATAACGTCAACATGCAATCGCACCCGCGCTGTCTCATGCCCAACACCCCCCAAACCCAAAGCCATGAGTCGCTGTACTCCAATCGAGAACCAGACCCGGAACTCCAAGCGAGCGGCTTCCATCTCGTTTACAGGTCTCCATCGCCCGCTGTAACCCCAGTGGAATCGTGCATCCCTTTCCGGCCCGCTTCCAGCCGGCTCGTCGATACACTGTATGAAGCGGCGAACTTCTTCGCGAAGATCCTCAGCGCCTTCGGAGAAGAAACCACGGCTATCCGATCGTATGCCTCGCCAGCTGTACTCAATGAGCTCTGGAAATGCAAGCTCAATGCGTCGGAGGAGATCGACGTCATCCCTGCTCTGAAGCAGGAGAGGTCGAGATGGGCGCTTCCTCAGAGGTACGTGTCCGGCTGGCGAAAGAGGAAGAAGCGCAAGGGCACGGAGCAAGCGCAAAGCGCAAACCAGAAGAACGCCTCGCACACACGGCTGGACCGTGCTGTGCGTGTTGGATATCGGGATTATGCCAGGCGGGTGAAGCATGATCTGTGGCAAGTTTACTATGCGCGCTGGCCGTCGCAGGTGGACGGGAAGAGCAGCACAGGGAGCGGATGTGCCGGTTTGGGTGGGGACCTGAACCGACTGGAGCACTTGCACAGAAGATTCGAGGCGCTGTATGATGGATTGGACAAGCTCTGTGGCCAGATGCATAATATCCAGTCATGTCAAGAGTTTATCGATCAGGCCCAGCTGCTCCTGATCTGTATGCATGATATCGAAGACTGGTGGCAGCCGACGGACAAGAGAGGCGCGTTTGCGAAGAAACGCACCGGTCGAAGATAGCTCATACGTGTTTGTATAACTCACCTTGCGCAGCACTCCACTATTGAACTCGTCCTGTAAACCTAGTCAAGCCCATCCTGTGCGAGGAACATTTTCGACGGGTGAAGCCTTTATGTTCATGGCCAAGGTAATTGAAGGATGTAGATTCTTATTAAATTATATGCGACCATCAGACAGCTTGAACCAAATTGTTCCAACGCTTTGTTCAATTCGCCAAACCCGGCCAATCTAAACCCGTCAGTGTCGAACGCGAATAAGGAGTATACTGACTGACCGTAAACCGTCCTCTCTTTCATCGTCCTCAGGACGTCCACCTCATCTCCCACTCGGACCACCACCTTGTCCGAGCCAGGATCCAAGAAGACATATCGTCCAAAGACAGGACTATACTTAGCCCCCTTATCCACCCTCCGATCCTTCATCAACTTCTTCAGAGCACTCCCCGTCTCACCCGTCCCCATCTTCCCAGTCGCATAGTCAACATTAATGCTCTGACACCGTACACAATTCGCCGTGAGCAGCAATCTCGCCGCATTGCCGCCTTGTCCAACCCTCAACTCAGCCCAAAAGTCCTCTTCAAAGGCCGTCGCCGCCCCCGAAACAACAATATTCGGCCGAAACTTGGTCACGTCCATGCGCTCGTCGCCCTCGAAGCGCGCAGACAGCTCATCCACCGACGTCTCAGACGTAAGCAGGTACGGCGCCGTATCCGCAAACGTAATCGACTCGTCCTCTTTGGCTGTCGATAAACACCGCAATAATACCCAAGACAGCAACCCCGCCACAACGGTCGCAGCCACACCCGGCCAATGCCTCAGCAGCTCGTCCCTTGTGAGTTGCAGCGGCCCCGAAGCCCCAGCCGAAACACGCACACCATTCAGCACAAGCGTCAACACCGCCAGGCCCACCAGCGCGCGAGTCGAAACCACCGGCTTATCCACCGCATGAGCGGGGCTCTTCCCCGGCGCGAAACTGCCCAGGACCCGCCGCGAATGCGGGCCCAGGTAGGCTAGTACCACGGGGTACCCGAACCGCTCGCTGAACCACGCGTTGTACGGATCGCCCATGTCGTACCCCCTCGTCGGACTCTGGTGCATCTCGATGCTGAATTGTCGGAGGCCTCGTATATCTGGCTGTAAGGGGATCTCGAGCGTTTTTGTGGCTTTGTCTTTGTTATTGCGATGACTGTCCGCTGGTGGATGGTACGTCACAATGATCCGGCCTGGTAAATCTTTCTCTTCGTCTGGGTAGATGATTTCTGTTGTAAAGAGAGCCATTTCGGGGAAATGGGGGACGTGCATGTTCTTGAGGGTGGATGCGCCATTCTGCCCCGGAACGACTTTGAGGAGCATAAATCGCCGGTCATATTGGAATCCTGTTCGGGTGAGGGTTGCTTCTGACAGGGAGACACCGCGGATGGACTTGATGGGGTATGTGTAGAGCTGAGTTGAAATATGAGTTTCTCGTCTTTTGCAAGGGTGGAGTCCGCCTACCTGGCTGATGTGCATGTCTGCTCTTGTAGTTTTTTATTTCGCTGAAAAGGGAGGGTCAGGCAATCCAACGTTGTCTATTTCTGAGTTGAAAAAAACTCTGAACTGAAATGACAGTGTGGTGGTTGAGATACAAATAAACAGCCTCACCCGCATTCTCCAACTTAATGCGGAGAAGTTACGCCGACCTATCGGATGCGAGGGATGACAGAATGTGGTTGATAGGGCGTAGATAGACACATTCCACCGTATTCATAGATAATCACACCACCAGTACAGAACATTATAGACAAGAAGAAACAAAACAATTCCGATCACAGATTGATATTGTGTTGAATGTGTATATACATACATGCATGCATCATAAGCAGACATCTTGGTCATGTTGAACAGCTAACCCGCCAAAAGAAGCCCTCAAAACATCATCTCATTAAATAGCGGCAATGGATACTTTTAATCATCCCAAGGAAGGCTGAAGGTGCCCACCCAGTCTTCTACCTCCTTTCTCAGGAGCACAATCTCGGAGATCTCCTCGCCCTCACCAACGTAGTCGAGGAAGGCCTTGACTGTGTTGGGGTTCTTAACTCCCTTGGCTGCGGCACTTTCTTTGGCAGCCTTGTCCAGTTTCTGAGTGATGATCACGGCACGGTCGACAATGTCAGCGACACGACGGAAGTCCTCAGGCTGGAAGCCACGAGTGGTCATGGCAGGAGTTCCCAACCGCAGACCGCCGGGCTTCAGGGCGGACTGGTCTCCAGGAACGGTGTTCTTGTTGCTGGCAACGCCACAGAGCTCGAGGACACGCTCAACACGGGCACCGTCGACTCCGCGATTCTTCAGGTCCACAAGGACCAGGTGGTTGTCGGTGCCGCCCGACACGATGTTGTAGCCGAGACCGCCATTGTTGATTGGGCCACCCAGTCTGTCCGACAGCGCCTTGGCGTTGGCCAAAACGGTCTCCTGGTAGGCCTTAAATTCAGGCGTTTGAGCCTGCTTCAAGGCGACGGACAGCGCGGTGATGGTGTGGTTGTGAGGACCACCCTGGTGACCAGGGAAAACCGACGCGTTGATGAGGTTCTCGAGATCGTACATCTCCTTGTTGCCCTTCTTGTCTGTCCGGCGGACGCCCTTGCGGTAGAAGATCATGGCACCGCGAGGACCGCGCAGGGATTTGTGGGTTGTGGTTGTCACAATGTCAGAGTGAGGGAAGGGCGAAGGCAGCACACCGGCGGCTACTAAGCCCGAGATGTGAGCCATATCGCTCAAAAGGTATGCACCAGCGGCGTCAGCGATCTGGCGCATGCGGGGGTAATCGATAAGCCGGCTGTAGGCCGAAGTGCCGGCGATAATCAGCTTGGGGCGGTACAGCAGAGCCAGCTTCTCCGCCCCGTCGTAATCAATGAGGCCAGTGGATTCATCCAGACGGTAAGGCAGGGTCTCGAAGTACTTGGAGATGAAGGAAATCTTCTTGGTTGGGGTTTGGTAACCGTGCGAAAGGTGACCACCGTGGGGCAGATCCAGGCCCATCAAACGGTCGTGTGTGTTGAGGACGGCGGAGATGGCATAAAGGTTTGCCGGTGATCCGGAGAGAGCTGTAGGAGTTAGTCAGTTATATCTAAAGTATTTACTAGAAACTTACGCTGTACGTTAACACCCCATTCCTCGGGGTTCAGTCTAAAGGTCTCGAGGGCACGCTGCTGGCAGAGTCTCTCAGACTCGTCGATGAACTCGTTTCCTCCATAGTATCTCGCACCGGGGTATCCTTCAGAATATTTGTCTGGGGGCCAGTTAGTTTCATCCATTCTGGAACCGACAGCAGCGGACTGACTTTGCATCACACTCCCCAGCGCATCGAGAACGGCTTGGGACGTAAAGTTCTCAGAGGGGATGAGATTGATGAAATGCTTTTGGCGTTTTTTCTCCTGCACCAGTATGAGTGAATCTATTTAATTGATGCCCGGGAAGGTCGATGCACCTTTTGCAGAATGTTGTAGACAGTGGGATCTTCCTCCTCGAGGGATGCGGAGAGCAACTGCACGGATATGACATCAGTACATGTCCTAGGAACAAGTCAGGGAGATAGAGCGCACATGCTGCTGGCCATCGCGGCTGGATGAGGATACGCTCCGCCATTGCACATTCCTGGATGCAGCAGTGGGAGTCTGAAGCTGGAAGCCTGGACGGCGGGCGGTGGTGATAGCAGTGGTAGCTCTGGAAGAGCTTCCAGACCGCGGGATGAGGCGCGAGGCCTGTCGTCCGCAACGACTCAGAGACATTGTTGGGCAGGATTCAACCTATCGTCCGTTTTGAATCGGTGACAGACAATATCAAAGAGTCCACGAAAGAAAATGAAGGAAAACCGGGTGATATAACAATGGCACGCCGATGGTTATCTCTTGATCCATCGGACAACGGTAGTTCTTGATACGGGCGGCTCCGTTGCCCGCGGAAAGCTGTCAGCCGCTAAGCCGTTCTGGGACCAAGCACCCCGATTGGCCTGATGGCGCGGAAGAGGATGTTCCACTCCGAGCACTCGCTTACGGCACCTTACTGTTTTTATCTCCGCCGGCATCCTCGCACCTTTCTTCTCTCTTCCCCTCTTTTTCTCTTCATCACACAACTAAATCCAAGATGAAGAGATGGCGTCTACGGCTTTTTCAGTTCTCGTGGAAGAGACGGCTTCTGGCTGGCTCTTCCCGGGCGATGCTGATATGTCCCGCGCCCATTCACCATCCATGAGGGGCAATGAACCGTCTGATTGGATCTGTGTGCAAAGCTGGGATGACTCGATGAGTGGACATTTATGAGGTGTTTTGAAGGCCTACGTGTACAGTCATATCGAGATAGAATGAACGAATTCAATCGTCTCTCATCCCAGCAGGTCCTGTATGATCCCAGAGTATGTGTAGTGTGGAAGATGACTCGAACAAGACGAGGTTTGTGCGAGGGTGAAACTTCGGTCTTGTGAAACTCTACAACATGCACCACGAAAATATGAAGCAGGAAGAAGGCACCTTGCCTGTACCGAGTACTACGTGGCTCTGTAAGGAGCAAGTACTTTAACTTCAATAAGCTGCACTTGAAATTGGAAATCACAAAAGCTCTGATTTCCTGAGATCCGAGCGAGCTTGAGAGTGTCAAGCATAGGCGAGGAAAGGAGTAGACCGCTCTTCTGGGAAATAATTCTCCGGGCGGCAGCAGGAGGTTGGAACAGTAGTTAGTCAGTAGGAACCATGATCGACGGGGTATCTATTTACAGAGTATGAGTCGCAGATGTCTCTCAAGAGTCAGGACTGAACAATCAGGACTCAATGCCAGCACTGTTAGACTAAAAAGTCTCGGCTTCTTCTACACCCCAGAGATGGATTCTCTACTTGCTCAAACAGGCATGCGAACAGCGGCACCATTGAGGGATCATTGACCGGTTCAGGGGTATTTCAGGCCCGAAAACATGGAGATCTGAGTGCATAGAGAAAAGTGCGTATATCTACTGTTCCTCTTGTGTACTCCTGTTACAACTCCTCTAAAAATGATAAATCCACGCACTGGACACGAGACTAGTCCCATAGACTAAACATTAGGGCCGTCCACCACATTAACTCTGTCTGTACTAGACTGCAAGAGTGGCTTCGTCTCCTGCACTCCTTATTGAGTAATTTTAGATGTTTAATCTCCTGAGTCTGAACTAGATCCTGGGCCTGATTTCCTAGGTTGATTCTAGCCTGAATACTTCAGGGCCCGTCCATCCTCCCTCCAGGCTTCCTTTTCTTCTTTTTCTCTTTCTCCGCCAACTGCTTCACTGCTTCACTCACTCTCTCCAACTACCCCGGTGTTATACCGAGTACATTCTTTTACAGAAATCTGCGTGGATTTTTATCCTAGTCGCTCTTTATCTATCAACCTTACCACATCAATCTCAATCTCAATAAAATCATCAAAATGCGTTTCTTCGCTACTATTTTGGCTACCCTCGCCGTGGGCGCCGTCGCCTCTAACGCCGTTGCCGATGAGGAATACAGCACCGTCGTGGTCACCGAGTACAGCACCTACTGCCCCAAGGCCACCTCCGTTCCTGAGGCTTCCTCCAGCGCTGTATGTCACTGTCATGAAACCGAAAGGATCATGGAAGTGAAACATGCTAATCCCTCATCTGCAGGTTCCCTCCATCACCGTCTCCAACGGCGTGACCTACTCCATCTCCCGGCCCCTGATCACCTCTACCATCACCAAGTGCAACAAGTGGTATGTCTTTTCTCACCGTCTCTCGATGAGTCGCCAGAATGATTGAAGATGATGATACTGACTCGAGTAGCCCCTCCTCCACCCCCATCATCCACACCCCCACCCCCTCCAGCAGCTCCATCGTCGTCGTCCCGACTTCCAAGCCTGTCATCCCCTCCGGTGCAGGCCCCAAGACCACCAGCACCCCCGCCGCCAGCACCCCCGTCACTCCCCTGGCGACTGGTGCCGCCTCGCGCGCTGCCGTCGGTGCCGGCGCGGGTCTGGCCGGTGTTTTTGCCCTGGCTGCTTACCTGCTGTAGCTGAGCTGAGCTGTAGCTGAGCGGACTGATGAGGTGAGGTTTTTGGCCTCGCTTGTATAGGGGGGTTGTGATTTAATTGATTGATTGATTTGATTTGTCTGGTTTGGTTGTCTGAGAGCTGAGTCTACATTTTCATGGAATTGAATCGGAATCAGATTCGGATTTGATTCAATATACATACCTTTAGTACAGGGTTGCGCTTTTCGTTCGTTCGTCACTACCCCCGGGCGATGAAGGCGAGATACCACTAGCGTTTACTATTACTAGTACCCCCCTTTTTCTTCTCTTTTGACTTCATGATTATTGATTTGTTCTATACGATCGATACCTGGTTTTATTAAGCATGGATTACTTTTGGTTTACTTAACTTGGACGTGAATTGTATCCTCGTATCGACAGTCGGAGTAAGTCGTGACCGGTTATAACTTCGCCTTAGCGGCAAAGTATTCTCGTACCCTCTCCCGCGCAACCTGCACCACCTCTGCATCCTCCACCGTCGGCGGCACATTCACAGGAGCATCAAACTCCCCCCGCACCCCATTCTCCACCAACTCACGCAGCACCCGTCGCAGCGTCTTGCCGCTGCGTGTCTTCGGAATCATCCCCCGCCCCTGGATGATACCCCCCAGCGAAGCGATGGCCCCGATTTGCTCGCGCACCAGCTGGTTCACAGCCTGAAAGAGCTCCGCGCTGGGACGGGCGGGAAGCGGTCCCGATCCCCGCGGCTGGATAAATGCAAAGGGGAGGTGGCCCTTGAGCGGGTCCGGCATGCCTACCACGCTGGCCTCGCCAATATCCGGGTGCGACAGGATGGCTTGCTCGATGGCTCCCGTGCTGAACCGGTGCGCGGCCACGTTGATGATGTCGTCGGACCGCGACATGATGTGGATGTACCCGTCCTCGTCGATCATGCCAGCATCACCCGTGTCGACCCATCGGCCGTTGAACCGTTTGAGGTATCCCTTGTAGAACCGCTCGTCGTCGTTGAATAAACTAGTAAAAGCCGTCGGCGCCAGGGGCATCGCCATGACTATGTTCCCCATCGTCCCGCGCGGTACCTCCCGCCCTTCATCGTCGACGATGCGGACGTCAAACCCAGGCATTGGCAGTCCGGCAGATCCAGGTCGAACGGCTAGCGGTTTGGAGTTCTGATTCGGTTGCCGCTGGTCCACCAGGCCTGCTGCGCTGTTCAGCGCTAATCCTGAGATGGGGGATCCGGATTCGGATGACCACCAGTTATCGATCACCATGGCCCCCGGCGCCGCATGCTGAGTCAGGAGCGCTTGATACGCCTGGACGATGCTCGGTTCACTTCTCTCGCCAGCGAGAAATAGAGCTTTCAGGTGCCTCAGTCCCCCGCGGCGCGCAACCTGCAGGAAGTACCTGTTGTCCGGATCGTCCTTGCGGATTGCCCGAATGGCCGTCGGCGCCGTAAAGAGCACCTTGACCTTGTGCTCCTCGACGATCCGCCAGAAGGTGCCTGCGTCGGGTGTCCCCACCGGTTTTCCTTCGAACAGGACCGTCGTGGCACCCACCAGCAACGGTGCATACAGAATATACGAGTGACCGACCACCCACCCGATATCCGAGGCGCAGAACATGACATCCCCTGGCCCGTGGATATCAAACAGATACTTAATGGACAAATGGAGTCCTACTGCGTGCCCCCCTGCTTCTCGGAAGACTCCTTTCGGCAATCCAGTCGTCCCTACCCACACATCAGCATCGTTACATTACCCCCTAAAGCAGGACGCATACCGCTGGTATAGATGATATACAGCCCATCTGTGCTCTTGACCGGCACCGGGCCCGCCTTGACCCCGCGCATCCGAGCGCTCTTGACCAGCCGCTGCCAGTTGCGCTGCCCGCCCATCTTGTCCGGATTGTTCCACCGCAGCTGGTCCCGCTGCCAGATGATCGTCTTGGACGGTTTGAAGTTGCTCGCCGCAATGGCCCCCTCGACCAGTGGCCGATATGACAGAGGACCCTTGGACCCTTCAATCCCACACGAGGCCGTCATGATCACTCGCGGCTTCGCGGCCTCAATCCGCTGCGCAAGCGACTTGGCCGCGAAACCGCCGAACACGGCCGAATGAATAGCCCCCAGCCGGGTGATGGCTAGCGCTGCAATCAGCGCCGCGGGGATCATAGGCACTGTCGTGGTCATCAGATATTACCCTACGTGACGGTCCAGAGCTGAAATACATACTGTAGATGATCACCACATCTCCCTTTTTCACTCCTTCTTCCCTTAACACACCAGCCAGCACCTCCACTTCATCCAGCAATTGGCTGTATGTATACTTCTCCTTGACGCCCGTCACCGGCGAGTCCCAGATTATCGCTACATTCTCCCCGCGGCCGGCCGCCACATGCCGATCCACACAGTTGTAAGTCGTGGAGATCTCGCCGTCTGGGAACCAGGACCAGTGCTCGTGCGTGACCCCGCTTGGTAGAGTCTTGGGTTGTCGGACGAGTGTCTGCGAGGGCTTCTTGTGCCAGTGCAGCTGGGTCGCGTGATACGACCAAAAGCTTTCGGGGGAGTGCAGGGACTGAGCGTGGACTGTTTGTTGGGTAGACATTGTCCCCTTTTTTTTCGCTCAAGCGTAGGAACGACGCTCCAGGATTCGATGACCAGACAGCAGAGAAGAGATAAGGGATAAATAAAAAAGTGGATATGGGATGGCCGCTACAATATGACGAAGTACAAAGAAATTACACCCAGCACTACTCCGTAGTCTAACCAAACCCGAGCAGTAGATAGAATCAGAAGAGATTCACGGAGGAAAGGAAGCAGAAGGAAACAAGCCGACCTCATGCACGATGGTGCTGCAGGCGAGCTGTAAGTTAACCTAGACCAAAGTCAAACCCCGTCCATGCCGGGATTCGTTTAGACTCGGCAATCAGTCAGCAAACGTCGATGTGAAATCCGCAAGGGTGTTCATTGCTCCAGCCTCCATGACATTCGAACCGTTAATGATGGGGATTTGATTCGACAATCGATAAGTGGATGAAGTGAAGCTGTGGGGAAGTGGGCTGATACTACGTCCTGGACAGGGTGGATGAAGCCGAGGATAATTTGAAGCTTTCCCCGCACGGATGGTCCGTTCAGCATCCGGAGTGGTAGTTGGTACAGTTGTCCACCTGTCAAAGAGGATCCAGATGGAGCTTACATACTGGCCACTGGATCGATCAGATTTGGACAAAGATACCTAGTGGGTGACTATTGCATCTCCTGACTCCGAACTCTGTATTCTTCGCCACTTCCACATAGTCATACAGGACTCGCAAGAACCAGGTAATCGCTCTTAAACTGATAGAACTGAATATAATGTGTCTTTATTTTAGGTCTATCTGTGTCAACGAACTTTTTGTTCTTTATATTCGCAAATAATGCATCAGAAAAAAAAAAAGTAACAACTCAAAGCTCAGCCGTAGGGTATCATATCGAAATGCCTGCTAAACGGTCGACTGCTTCAGTGAAAACAACCATACGTCTTCTTCCCTCCGGTCCGGTCGTCGGTCACATTCCTTGCTTCCTCCACACCTGTCTGTAGTACAAACCCTCTTCTGACATTCACATCTCAGGACCCAGCCCACGCAAAGATTGGTCCTGGGTCCAGGTGGCTAGAATGAACCACATCCCCGAGGCTGGAACCGAGCAACTGCAAGGGGTTGAAAATGAGTATCCAGGGTGCGCGAGAGAAGAAAAGAAAGTCTATAATCCCCGATGCTTCTGAGATTCCAGCCTCTCCCATGTAACGGAAATAAAATCTGTTTCCAAAGGCGACACTCCAGGGGTACGGAGGAACATGGAGCATACATCAAGCATCTCCATAAAACTGTATGTGCGTATCCAACACAAGTAGAGTAGAAGAGAGGCGAGGAAAATGTAACGGAGGAAAGGGACGAGAAATGACCGCCCAGTCTATAGTCCAGAGACCGGTAAGACGTTCATGCAGCCAATATAAACAGATAGAAGATATTGCCATGGAGCAGGCTCACATGGATGTTCGTGGACGCTTGGAGTGGACGAAAGTGGAAGAGGTGGAATGCGAATGCGAATGCTAATGCGTCCCTCACAGTATGACGCACTTGATGCCACCTCGGTGTCTGGCACGGTCGGGTCGGAAAGTTTTGGGATATTCAGGACCGGCGTCGCGATCGCGCATGGGACCCAAGCCGGTCGGTCGACGATCCTGGGCTCGTCCTCCCTGCTGCTGTTGCCGTTGCTGTCGGAGCATGCGAACGACATCGTAAAAGGCCTTCTCCACGTTGATGCAGTTTTTGGCGGACGCCTCGACGAATTCGCAGCCCAAGTCCTTCGCCAGGGCCTGTCCTTCCTGCGCCGAGACCGCTCGCTCCACTGCTTTGTCGCTTTTGTTGCCGACTAGCATCACGGGCACGGGGAGGGGTGGACCCGAAGGCGCGTTCATGGGCGATCCCAGATAGCTGGCTCCGGATGGCGACCCGGAGTGGGCTGACTCCTTGACCATCTTTATCTGGTTGTAGAATTTTTGTATGCGAGAGAAAGAAGCGCGCGATGTGATGCTGTAGACAAGCACGAAACCTTCGCCGTCGCGAATCCACTGATCTCGCAAGGCCGTGTATTCCTCCTGGCCTGCGGTGTCCAGCACTTCCAACATGCAGGACTGCTGATCGATCACGACTTGTTTCCGGTACGAGTCTTCAATAGTCGGATCGTACGTTTCGACGAAATGATTCAAACAGAGCTATTCAGAGCAAGAAAAATTTAAGTCGAGAGTTCAGTAACGGTGTCATCAACCGTTCAAGACAGAAATGGAGGACTAACCTGGATCGTGAGCGCGGTCTTACCGACACCACCATCTCCCAACACCACCAATTTGTACAACGTCATTTTTCCCGACATGGCGACTATATCGCACCCGTAGGTCACCGAAGAAACAATAAATTGATTGATCGAATTGTTTTTTATTCTTTTTTTTTCTTAAGATGGAAGAAAGAATAGAGAAAGATTGGGTACGAGGCGAAGAGGAAGGGGAGAGAGGGGCGAAGAGAGAAAGAGAAAGCTATGAATGCTCCACGGTGGGCACGGACGCGGATAACGGAGTGTTGCGAGACACTACGACTGGGGGTCCAGCGCAGGAACTTAAAGAACGGCTATTGTGGTAAAGTTAGTGCGGTTATTAGCCACCGGAAGAACCGTCGTTGCTCTGTAGCCGTCCAAGCACATGTGCAGCCCACAGTCCACACCACAACACGAGGCCCCACGGGAGCAAAAGCAAAGGAAAGAAAGACATGACATACCTTTGGGTCCTTAAATTTGCCTTTATGATCAGCGAATTCAAAGCGAAAGGTGTTAATAATCCCTGAAGCTCTCCGGTCGCAGTATAAGCTCGTCGAGCGCAGGATCAGGAGCAAGATAGTACAAGACAGAAAATTTTGGACTCGAGCGGAAAACCCGAGAGTTGCAGCAGCCAACAACAACTGTATCTGCAGTTATCCCTGCCACAGCGTATTTGATAGTCTTAGCCGAAGGACAAAAATGCGGGTTTGCCAGTACTTCCGATGAGTAGTGACACAGAGGGATGTCCTGCCAATATATCTGTTGTCCCTTTTTCTTGGGGGTGAATGCCTGAAGATTGATTCCGCCACGCAAAAATAGCAGAGTTGAAGCGGATCCAATTTGGAATCGGAGAGTAGTGAGAGTCCAAGGGGTGTGAGGTGGAATATCTTTTCACTGTTCCTTTCCTTTTCTTTTTCGACAATACTCCTGATCTTGAAGGGAGGGGGAGGGGGAAAGCTGCACAGGCGATCAAGCGGCGACGCCAGGGAGGACCAAGGATAAAAGGCTTGGCCAGCGATGGGAGAGATGGTGGATAGAGAAGCAAAACGATAGATTGCTTATAAGAAACAGGAGAAAATGAAAAAGTACAGTTAGATGGAGGAATAGATACAGGGGAAGAAATAATGATAACATAATAAAAAAGGGAGTGAGAAAAATCACAACAATAACTCCGTAGTGATTAATTATTTTGTACCTAGACTATTATTACGGAATACTGAGGCACGTTTCCTTCCCCCTCTCTCATAATCCGATGTAGCTAAACCAGCACATACCCAGAGTAGTTAGTGAAGACCTACGGCATTGTATTAGCAAGAGAATTTGATTGATGTTTGACAAGGTAGGTATAATATAGCGGTAATAAACAAGGAGAATAGATCAATGAAGTCAAAGGCGAATAGAGGAAACAGCACCTATGGGGTGCTTTGTCGGAAGGTTTCTCTCTTGGATCAATTGATAGATTTGATACCCTGCTGATAACACACATTCTGGAATTAAACGGAGGCAATTGTGTGGCGTCTCAGCCTGTATGCTTGAAGTATCGTCTACAAACCTACAACGGGTATATCGTATAACACGAATCATTTTTAAGGAGTTGCACGACAGGTGATTGTCCTGTCATCGTCAGGCTCTCGTACTGTGATGCAGATCTGATACAGAGGTATCTTCAGCTTTGACTCTCTAAAATCTAAGCGAAACGGGATGGTAATGGAATCCGCGAGGTACCTGACGTCGAGGCGATGCGCATTGCCCACGAGTTCAATACATGCCATCCACCATACCCTTCATGATGAGATAGTTGCCATTCGAAATGCCCTGTTGCTTCCCCTGAGTCTCTGATTCATGGCCTGCAAGCGAAAGTTTTTGCCAGTTTTAGCCTCGTCTCAGATCTTCAAGGAAACATGCCCACTTTCGACTGAAGACAGTTTCGGGTACACACCAAGTGGGCGGATGGCCACACTAGGCCACCCCACACCAGACCCAGTTAGCAATTGGCATAGCTCAATTCGGGTTGTTTAGGCTTCATCTTCCAACAAGGTCCAGCGGTAAGCTTCCGAGTGATACACCGGAGGACAGTGCATGAACTTAGATGTCCGGTTGTGCTCCAAGACGGAGCGCACCAAGAGTCCCAAAGCGTGTTGACTGGAACTCAAGTGGCAATCTGCAGTGGCAATCAAAATGCTATCTACAACTAGTCTCTCTCAAGTTGCATCCCTAGACTATTCAACGGGGAAGGCAATCGAACATTCCGCGGCCCACTGGCTACTCGCTAAAATTCCATCTTCCTGATCCCTGGGACTCCTTATGCGCGGTGCCCCGCTGGCAATATGGCAGTTGCATTTAGAGTTAGTAGTCAGTGTATGCAGTATGGCAGTATACTTGAGACTATGGATGTAGCCAGGTGGGGCAGCATCATATCGAGTCTTACAAAATTGTAGACTTGATATCATGATCTCAGTAAGGAGTACTGCTGAGGCATTGATTATGAAGGTATAAAAGGTGAAATATGCGGCGTCCATGAACGTCATCGCGGGATTTGTACCTGAATTCGGAGATCAAAACGATGCTCATTACAAATAATCCCGCAACCCTAACGGAAGGTAGTATTTCTCACTCTTCTAGAATGGCCTTGTCTTGGCTCATGAATAGTCAGAGAATTACACTTTAGCCTCTGAGCGATTCAGGTTAAGGGGGAGGGGCACTTGACATCCTGACAGTTCATGTCAGATATTCCTGCGGGTATCAGAAATGATTGAATGTTGTCCGAGTTTCAGTCGATTACTACGACGATACTCCGTGCTCCGAGTACTGCACTCTTGTGTGAACTGAGGTTGTAATCTGTAGATACTTCTCTCTCCTTCTTTGCCACTGCCCTGGCCCTGGCCCATTCCCACGTGGGTGAAATGCACGGTAGACGGTACTACTGCACAGTCCAACCTAGCGCCTCAATGTATCGATCTTACCTCGTTGATTGATAACTGAGCCTGGAAGTATCCTGAACTCGTAGATTGATTCCTCCATGGGACATGGAAAAAGGTACGCAGTAGATCACCGTCATCATGGCATCATATTACTATTGATGGATAACATCTGGATTTCGGAAGGATCAACCAGGAGCACTAAAGTGAGTAAAACGCAGAGCCCGAGTAGCCGACGGAGAGGTTCAGGGGGCCGTCAGCCCGTCACGTTGGAGTATCCATCACATAATATGTGATAACCACTGACTCGGTTCCGACTAGCTCATGGGTTACTTCTCCGGCGTTTATCCAGAAAAACAGTAGACTGATGGTTTTCATGTCTCTATCTATATTCTTATCCCAGTTCACTACAGATTAAACAGTGAGACAGGTGATGTTGTTAATAAGTAAGGTACTCAATCAAGATCACTGTAGCTGCCCTGTCAGCTGAAACTCGATGATCCGAACCATCGCCCATCCCAATATTCATCCGCTCGGAACGCCCCGCTCAACAAGAGTATCTAGCAAACTTGGCATATCTAGCTGAGCAGTGTGCTCGATGCATGATCAAATCAGAACTGAGATGAGAGTCAAGTAATGCACTAAATATTGCTCCGTCCATGGGTGTCGCTTCGGCGGTGTGCCGCGGTGGTGATATCGCCCGTTTTCCCATGCCTCTTTTGGGGCTAGTGGCTACCTGGGACTGGCTCGGATGGATCTAGACCGTCGCTGGTTACCTTCTACTTAAAAGAGGGGAATTGGATACGTAAGGTGGTAGCTAGACAGGGTTGCAGTGCATAAGATGAAGCAGGTGGCAGATTGGGGGCCGGATGGAGTGACTGGAAGATGATTCCGAGTCGAACAAGTGAACAAAAGATTCACCAATGGGAAGAGCATTCTACCCTATGATCCAAGGTGCTGTTCCATTCTGTAGGACGAAAAAAGCAAACCTCCACGTTTTGCCTTACCAGGAAGGCCTCATTCAGCTTCTAGTGCCATTCTACGCCATTCACTGACTCGCGGCGATCCCCGCCTACCTACCTTACTGTCCCCGGGACAAGCTTCTTCCGACGCTTCTCGACTACAAATGGCGCAGTATGCAGTGCTTAATCCTCGATTAACGCGGAGACCGCGGGGAAAATATTCATTAAAGTCACTATGATGGAGTAGGCCACCTCTGAATGCGTGACTCGCCTCTTATGGGTTGCGATGGCTACTCTTCCAACGATAGGGTCTGGCCCAGGCCATGCGGGAACGATCAACGGCGCGTTGAATTGTCTCTCGGTTGCCTTGAGATACCGGATTTTATACCAGCTTGGTCAGCATGGTCCTCTTTACGGCGAAAAAGAGCTCATCAGATCAAAAAGTCGTCTTCTGGGACGCCCCCGCGTCTGTCCCGTTCGTCTTAGTACAACCGCCGGTACCAGCGGTTAATGTGCGGATAGTCATGGTGGACCATTTCTGAGATTGCACCGGAAGTCATGTAGTATGCCACGTCGAAGCGAGCAATCGTCGTGTACAGCCGAATGTCCACCTCGGTGGTGTTCGGCCCGAACAGATACCGCTGGTGACCGGGGCTGTCCGAGATGCTCCTCGACGTAGTCCAGCGCCTCAAACAGCGGATACAGGTTGGCATGGTACGCTGCCCGCGTCGTCAATCCCGGTCTTGTACGCCCCGTTGTTGTTCTTCTCCTACACCCCCTCGTTCATGGGGTCGATGTTGGCTTCGCACAGGCGCGGGTACAGTCCGCCAGCGGGCTGGTCGACCTCTCGCATCGCCTCGGGGAGGAGACGGTCGAACTCGGCGTAGAACATGCGGATGATCTCGCTGCTTCATTGTTGACGATCGTTTGGCGCTGTTTATCCCAGAGGATGGGGTTCGTGTACCGGCCTTCGTACTGCGGATCCGCCTTTAGATAGAGCTCCTTGAGCAGCATGAATCTGTATAACGTGTCTCTCTCCGCGGACCCAAACCGGCCAGAGAAGAACCCCCGCTCGATGATGTCTTCGAGTTCCTTGAGGGTTCGGACGATCCTGGTGCCATGCGTCCGACAGCAGTACCCCAGGTATAGCACGTAGTGGTCTTTCTGTGCGGGGAACTCCGAGGATGGGTTGCTCGAAACGGACGAGCGGAATGTCGACGGAATTGTCGACGGCTTGCGACGAAACTCTCCGTCAGCATCAGCATGTTCAGTGTCAGCAAGGGTAATACCGATGGCATATATGCATATCTGGTTTGTCATGTTCTCTTTTCTGGTCGGAACGCAGCCATCAGCAGAGCATCCTGGTGGACACTCATATATAGCACCATATAATCGAGCCTGCTGGATGCCAGAAATAGGCTGCCACTATCTTACGGGCAGCGGAGGTGCGGAATAATAGCATGTCTCAAGTCTGTTCTGCATTACTGGGCTACAACCAAACCCAGTATGTCGCAAATCAACATGCAATAGAATAGTCATCAGTCGTAGTGTATATACAACATCATTGTAGTCTACACCTTGGACTCGGTATCAATACCAAACCGCCTGGCAAGTTCAACAAGCCCGTCGCAGCTTGCATCAATCCAGATATCCACGTACCCCTCGTCCCGTGCCTGCTCCACGTCCAACGTCTCCTCCTTCAAACGCTCCACATAAATCGTCTGAAGCCCGCAGGCTTTGGCACCCTTCAAATCCCTCAGATGCGCCGCCACAAGCGCACACCCTCCCGGCTCCACTCCGAATCTCTCCGCTGCCCCGCCGTAGACCTTGGGCGACGGCTTGTACGCCCCAAAGTGCTCTGCACTGAGCACCTCCGTGAAGGGCAACGAGCCGTACCGACAGAGATCCTCAAGCAGAGCCACGTTCCCGTTGGACAGGGTGCAGGTGCGGAACTTGCGGTTCAGCAGTTCCAGGCCGCGAACGGTATCCGGCCACGGGGTGAGCCGGTGCCAGCTCATCGCGAGATCCCATCTCTGGGCGTCGGTGAACAGAGTCTCAAGACCGTGGGCTTGGAGGAGCGTGAGAAGGTACGAGTAGTGGTGCTCATCGACTGGGACGAAGGGCTTTGATGGATCGCGGTTCTGGGTGAAGTGGTGGTATGACTCGCGCCATTCCTCGGTTATGGCGAGCCAGTCTGATTGAGTCATTGACGAGACTTTGGCGCGCACGGCGTCGGAGAGATCCTTCTTTGGGTCTTGAAGCGCGCTTTGTGCTGCGTCATGGAGAGCTTTGGAGACGGGGGTGCGCCATTCGACGACGGTGCCAAAGACGTCGAAGAAGAGAACTCGCGGGAGAGGTTGGGATGGCATTGGCTGATGGCTTGTAGTTCATGAATTGAGATGAAATATGGGTTAGAGAAGGGTGCTGATTCAGCCGCAATCAAATCCCACACGATATGGAATATTATGAGAGATCAACGTGGTTGATATTTCTTGTTGTTTTGAGAAAGACGACTGTACCCCGCAAAGGCGTCATATTGCCTAACGCCGAGAGCGGCGTACTAACTGCCAGGTCAGTATAAACGTTCAGCCTGAGGCTTACCGGTGCCTCAGTGACTGAGAGACGTTGAGAAAATTGACTGATATCCAAGCTTCTGACAGAATTAATTGAACAAATTAGTTAATTCAAAGAATAATGAGGCGGCTCAATTGCGGTAGGAACTAAGTGTGATGACTCCGAACTATAGTCGACAAGTGGATGAGCATGTCGATAAATCACATCATCACATAGTCCATTGCTTCAGATAGATCAATGATCATCCTATTATTAGAGTCTCAATCAATCATCCTGGACGTTGACAGCTGCAGTTTAATGATCATCAACGGCTGCACCATGTATGATTAAATTAGTGCAAGGTAGTCGTAGCCTCGAGCTGACATCTCGGTATTATGGATCCCTCGAGTTCAATCTGATGATGTATGGCAATCCAGCGTCTGTACTCCGTACATGTCTATGAGCTTTTCTCTTAGAATAGATAATTGAGGGGTTATATCTCGTCTGAGACTATCTAGACCGGAGTATAGCAATCAGGTGGAGCAGTTGAAGTAGTTGGGGCTGTTGTGTATGGACCTGTCATCTCTCAGAAAGAACGTCTTTTCTTTGTTGTTCTTTGATCAAAGACAAAAGTACAACCCCTGAATGCAGAACTCCAGGCCAATGCTACTAATGCTAGACTAATTGATTGCAGTGGGGTCACTAACGACACCGGGCTAAACTAAGCAGTTTAGTTGGATTATTACAGAGCAGTAGACTTTTGTTACGTTCCTTGACTTTTGGTCTATCCAAGGCATCACGTTCTTCTGCGGTTGGATGACTAGGATAAGGATAGAGGTCAATGACTACGGCTATGAGATACTATGTACTACTACAGACAAGAGAATGTATATTCGTTTACTGAAACTGGTCTTTCTTCATTGTCTCTTGCAGATTCCAGACGCATGGCACAGAATACCTCTGGGTCATATCATGGATCCAAGGACATAGGAAAAGGGGCCGGAGCAGGGACCACTTAATCTATGAGGGTCGAATGAGTTCCTTCCTTCAAGCCTATGAAGTTATATTATTATGAACACAATTCGATTTACGTCTCAATCAGCCAATCTCAAAACAGTCAAGCGCTCCGTAGTAAGTTCAGTTCTGAGCCCACAGTAATAAAGCTAAGCCAAGAACCAAAAACTGGGACGCGGCCCGTCTGTGTTTGTGTACCTCTCCGGTATCCAAGGAAAAGACTCGGGTGTTCCCTCACTTTCCGAGGTTTGTCCTCTGCCTGGGTCATCTGTTCTGTTATGGTGTTGATAATAAAACAATTATATGGCGGTGGTGGGTAGTATATAGCATTAATTGGGTAACATTATTGCTACCTTACTGACCTCGTCTTGCATTCGTCTGCAGCGCTGCATCTCCTGTAGTCAAAACTAAAAGATTAACTTTGATCCAATAAACCAATTGATTGCTCGATCACACGCGACAACCGAGTGGGAATCTAATACGTACTACACCCCTGTAGTTCGTCACTATAACGCTCGTGTTTAAACCTACCACATGCTCGGATTCGAGAATATCATTCCGTACTGAAACACGGACCAGAGGCTATGCCGATCTTGTTAAGAAGCAAACGCAGGGTCTAGATAGCTATGATGATATCTGTGCCATGGCGTGGTTTAAATGATCGCATTGCCAATTTCGCTATCGTATGATCCCCCTGTCGATCAATACCTTACTAATGAGTGGATGGTTCCGTATATTCCGTTCGAGACTTACCTTAGGGGTATGCTGTAATACTCTTGAACAAAACATTGGAAGGATACAGAGGGACGAGACAAGAGCTTTGCTTTCATATATAGACGAGGATCATCACTAGCATCACGTCCCGTTATTTGAATGATACTCATTTCGCTGGTTCAAGGTCCATCATCAGTTGAGTGGAGTTTATACCTTTGTAGTTCATACTAAGAGAACAATTTCCCCGTAATTGCCAGGGTCATACGGTAAGGTATACCTACCTTACCTACCTTACCTTAGGTACCTACTTGTACGGAGTCTCTCCCGTCTACTCCGTACCTTAGACGTGAGGTGATAATAAGAGAATACGTACTACAGTGTACCATTTTATTATTATGTACCTATTATTGCATGGGCCTGGGTATGATCAGAAACAGAGTACAGCCTGGTAATCATGATACATACACCAGCCTGTGCCTGCCAGCGTCTCCTTTTCCCTTTTCTCCCTTCCTTATCCTCTGAAGGCTGAATTAACGCGCATGTTTCATATCCACTTTTGCTGTTTTCTTTTTCTTGTTGTTCTCTACGGATGATTAATCATCTTTATTAATTCCTAGTTGGTTATTATCACTTCTTTCCTCTCCCAACAACGGACAGGATGCGACCAACATTAAATGATAGCCAATACCGGCCGAGTCCTATCAATTTGCCGTCCGTTTTGATCCGTCGTCTTTAGTCTCTATCCAATAATCCACCGACGCATCCATCGATCCGACACTTCCCACTCAATATCAGTTAGTCCAGTCTAGGCTGCATACCTGTAGCTCTGGTGGGGTCCGGTATTATTGTGCTCCTCAACCTTCCACTAATTGGATTGCCGTCCTTTATTACTTTCATATGGAGTACTCCGTAGTACGATGGTGAGGAGTACCCCATCGGTGCTTTGGTGCTATTCAGTAGTGCATCCACCTCCTAACGAACTGCCCCCTGGACTGGCTCAATCTTAGTTCCTTTCAAAGATGCTTGGACAGGTGCCTGTGCCGCAAGGCTAAAATCCATCCTGCCAACTAAAAAGGGGGAAAAAACAGAAGAAAAAAAGAAAAAAGAAAAATAAGAAATTGGAGACTGATCTAACGGGCCTCAGCTGCATGGGCTTGCTCTTTCCACTCGCCACCTATTGACTAGATAGCCTAGACTTCTAGTTTCGAAGGATGAGCGATTGAATGCAAGACCGGCCCTCATCTCGCAGGTAGATAGACAGTCACTCTGCCTGCGTCTGTCGTCTGTCTCGAGTCTCGAGTCTCGATCTTCACCCTTTCCCCCGCGTTGCGCCGATTCATTATCTCCATCCTTATCCTCCAATCCACTCAATTCTTTCGCTCTTGTTGCACCAGTTAATTCGGCATCTATGTCTCCTCGCATTCGCATGATAATCTTTTATCCTTAATATCCACGTATATAATAGACAAGTGCAGCACCATCCCTAGAGGGTTCAACCTTCTGGAGCTGTTCCAACCTGAGGTACGTGCACGTTTACGCAAGACTAGGGAGGCTGGATTGTTCAGCCTTCAGCACTTGAGACGACCGGCCTGGATTCGGCTGACTTGGTCGGTCGCTGTAGATTCATTGGGCGACCATTCTCGAAATTACCGCTGCTGGCCAGCGTCATCGTTCTCCCCGGCAGTCGTCGACTGACTGCCGTTGACCTTCATCTCGTGTCACAGTCTTGAATCGGATCGACGGATGCCCGTATGAATTGCTTTGATTCGGATCTGTGGGAACGGACCCGACTGCTCTGCGCTGGTCAACTTCCGATCCCCTTGGTGTTAATGGTTGAAAGCTCCGACTCGTCTATTCGCTCTGAACGATAGTATCCATGGCCACAGACGTCCAATATCAAAGCCCTTCGGCGGCTCAGGCGTTCCCCACGCCGTCGACGACGCCGCACCGGGTGCCCTCCATACATGTCCGCAGCGACTCATCGCCGATCCGCTCCGCATCACCTCTTGCCCCTCACAACTCTTCCCCCGAAGGACCGA